GCCCGTCGGGGGGTGGGGGAGGGGGGGGGGGGGGGGGGGGGCAACGGCCCTCCCTGAGCTTGACTCGGGATCTGAGGTAAAGGCTGACATTTTTTTCGGGAATCCCACAGGATGGGAAACAAAATCAGCATCTGTTAATCGTTTATATTTTATATTAGTTAATGTTGCTTTTGTGCAATAGATGAATAACAATTGATTTGTTTTAGATATTTTATGTTTAGATATTTCTATTTTGCGGGAGTGCCGTGAATAATTTTATTCTCCCACATCCTGCACACACACGAGTCTCTGCACTCGCCTATCAAGTCTTGTCCAGCGCCGCACTCTGTTCCGTCAGGTCTCGCTGGAGACCAGGTCTCTAAACCACTGGCACTTGACTCGACAGTGCGTGAGCTACATCCCTTTTACAATCTAGATTATAAATCACTGCATTCTGCCAGCAATGTAATGCGGCAGTAACATATTGAGACCTCGGCTTGTAACTATACTATAATTACTATTTCGAAAATTATAACACGTTAAATTACTCTGTTACTAAAAAAGTAATCAAATTACAGTAACACGTTATTTCACCAGATCTTTTGTGTATCTGAAGTCAATCTGTTGTTTACAAGGTCTCATAACATTTAAACAGTGCACAAACATGATGAGTTGGAAAGCTTAGCTTTGATAATTTTGGATGTTTAAAACAATTACATACAGACAAAGTGAACAAATAAGAAAAAAAATAATCTAAATTATTCTGAGAAATTTTTTAACTGTACAATATTCTGTTTGTCAAGCAAATAGCATTTGAATCTTTACTGTAGGGATTTGTGCACCTTTGCTTATCAAATCATGGTTGAATTTGTTTCTCTATTCACACTCCTGTCTGTTGTTCACCGAGATAAAACCTGCACACATCTATTATTCTTCTACTCACAAAAGCAATGGACAGTTGCTCTGGCTCCATGGCACTGAAGCAGAACACACACACACACTGGAGCAGAACAACCCAAGCTACCATGTCACCGTGTCTGTTCATCCTCTTCCCCGGAAATAACAGGTGAACGAACGGGGATATCGCTGCTGAATAATTCATAATGGATATGAGCAGCTCTGCTCTCGAAGTCTTTTCAAATCGCAGAAACGGATGTGCAAAACAATGCATTCTCAGTACCGTGCTGTAAACATATTCATTTGAAAATGAGGTCCCACCCTGCTGAATGAAGTTTGTTTATTTGGCAGCACAATGAGGGACACTGCTGTTCCTGCAAATGTAATTTATCCTGACATCCATTTTTTTTGTTTTTATGGGAACAATATGCCTCTCAGGAAATAAATGCATATGATCTCAACGTGCTTTATACAAGCTACTGCACATCTCTCAGGGGGGAAAAAAACATTCTCAAAACATCTGCTGATCTGAGCAGCGGAAAAAAACATAATAATGGACACTCACCAATAATTGTGACTATAGTATATGGCTGGGCGATACAGCTAAATCAACATTTTTTAATGTTTTACAAAAGTAAAATGCAATAATCAAATAATAATAATGTTTTCCAGTAAATTAACAGGAAAAAATAGAGGCTACTTAATAATTTTATTATAATGAATAGAATTTGAATTATTATGAATAGTTATTATTGAATTATATTATTTTATGCTCTAATATAACAATAAATTGTAATAAACAGCAATGTTTACATAAATGTCTACTTAAAATGCAAATTAATCAAGTTATAATCAATTCACTCAAACAGACAAACAAACTCAAACAGATTCTCAGCTGTATTATTAAACAATGAGAATCAGAATTTGAAAAGGACACTTATTTAATGCATATCCATCGGAACATGGTTTGTACTGAAAATCAAAAACAAGATGTTCAGCCCTTAATATGTTGGTTATGTTTGGCATCAAATTACATATGATAGCAGTGCAGTGGAGTGACTGAATGATGCAGAGGACACCCACAGCTCACAGTGTGAACGAACAAAGAAATATTTGTGTGCAGATGTATTTGTGCTCATCTGTTTGTGTGCATATGAGAGAGAGAGAAGTAAGAGAGTGCACAAAAAAGGCTAAACATTTTTGTGATCACACGTTCAGCTTTTGAGCTTACTGAAAACAAGCCTACGTAATTTACAAACATATCTTTCTTATGCATAAAGCTTACTGCACTTGTTACAAGACTAAGTTTAAGTAAAATACATAAATGTGAAGGGTCACTGAAATGCATAAAATGCATTTAAATGAAGACGATAATAATAATAAAAAATAGTTAGAGTTGTATTACTTATTGTGTGATTAATTATATATTCTGTGAAACTCCACATAGCCATCATACAGGGAAACAAAGCCATTTGAACAGAAAAATTACATTCTCCTTGTACTTCAGTGTTAATTACATTGAGTGGGCTCAGTATTACAGTTAATCACAGCTTTGTCGTGAGCACCCTGATCTTTACACATGCTTGGATCTATTAATTTTTATTTCAGAATTACGTCAATTTTGGCTACACAAACAATCATAACATGGCACATGACACGAAATCCGATCATTTCAGCTCTTGATATTTTATTGCTAATTCTACAAAATATGACATGACCATCAGCATAATTTTCACAAACAATATTTCAAGCTGGTTATGTCATGGTAATCAGAGTCATGTTATTGTTAAATGTTTGCATTCGCATAAGTTTACGTTTCAGACTCCAATCGAACAAATGTATTCTCTTGGCAAAATAAAATAAAATTAAATTAAATTAAATTAAATATTTATGTATGTTCGTAAGTATGTACATCAGCCAGTGAACAAAATAATAACACTCGGAAATATCAAGTTGAGTGTAAAAAAATTGTTCTAATGATATACATTCAGTCAAGCCTCGTCTGATTTTCAGAATCGTTTTATTATAGTTATATATTCTGTGAAACTCCACATAGCCATCATACAGGGAAACAAAGCCATTTGAACAGAAAAATTACATTCTCCTTGTACTTCAGTGTTAATTACATTGAGTGGGCTCAGTATTACAGTTAATCACAGCTTTGTCGTGAGCACCCTGATCTTTACACATGCTTGGATCTAGGAATTTTTATTTCAGAATTACGTCAATTTTGGCTACACAAACAATCATAACATGGCACATGACACGAAATCCGATCATTTCAGCTCTTGATATTTTATTGCTAATTCTACAAAATATGACATGACCATCAGCATAATTTTCACAAACAATATTTCAAGCTGGTTATGTCATGGTAATCAGAGTCATGTTATTGTTAAATGTTTGCATTCGCATAAGTTTACGTTTCAGACTCCAATCGAACAAATGTATTCTCTTGGCAAAATAAAATAAAATAAAATTAAATTAAATTAAATTAAATATTTATGTATGTTCGTAAGTATGTACATCAGCCAGTGAACAAAATAATAACAC